CCTCTCTCAGATCTCGCTTTTGGTTTTTGTCCTTTTGATTTCTTGCTCCTCCCTCTCTTGGTTTTTATTTATGTGCTACTTTCTGTGCTTATTTTTTCAGCTTACAGGTTTACTAATCACATGAATGGGTTTCTTTTTTATCTTCTCACGCCCATATACAACCTTATGAAGTATAGATAAGGTTGTCTTTCTATGGTTAAGCAACTGATGTGGAGGCAGCTTATAGAGTTTGGTTGAGGCCACACAGCTGGGACATGTGGACCCAGGGTTTCAGCAGAGACTCAGCTGACTTCGGAGTGTGGGCTGCCCGCCTCCCATGGTGCCCCTTGCTAAAAGTCCTTAGCATCTTGCGTGGCGTGATCCAGATCTTTCAGGTGTAGGTGGTGCTGCCGTGCCCCAGCCCTGCACCAGACCCTGTGGACCCTGCAGGAGAAAGGGGGGCTACTACAGGGTGCTGCACAGACTCTGCTCCCTCTGGGAATGGAAAGCCTAGGGTCAGAAGTGACTGGCCCAGGGTCACGCATTTTCAGTTGGTTGCTGCTGGGCCATCATTCTCACTAGGTGACCAGGATGAGTCAGTAATGGTGGCTTTAAAGCTGTGGGGCTCGATCATGTCTCACGTGTCCAGAGTGGCCACCTGTGTCTGTAGGGGCATGTCACGGGTCGTGCTGCTTCTTCCTGACCCCTTACTAGGGAATTATCGATAATGATCCATTGTTGTTGTTGTTGTTGTTAAGTGCTGTCGAGTCGGTTCCCACCCATAGCGACCCTGTACAAGGTTTCCGAGGGAGTCGTTCATAAAGATGCAGATGCACTCGCTAGTAGCTGAGTTCTCCAAGGTTTCCTGTGTTGCTCATTCTTCTGTAGATGAGGACTCATTCTCAGCTAAAATGCTCACGTCTGTCTGATAAGTAAAAGGCACGCTGGTGGCGCTGTGGCTTAGACGTTGGCTGCTTACTATATGGTCGGCGATTCAAACTCTCCAGCTGCTCTATGGGAGAGAGATGAGGCTGTCTGCTCCTGTAAAGACTTGTAATCTCGGAAGCCCTCTGTGGAGTCGCTTTTAGTTGGATTCAACTTGTTGGCAGTTGGTTTGTCTGATAGGAGCTACTTCCTAGTGCCCCCACCCCCTCTGTCAGCTCCTTCCACCACTCAGCCTCTGGGCTGTTGGTAATTCCCTGTCTTCGTTGGCACACCCTGAGAGATGGTCAGTGAGCTTGTTGCTTTATCTGCGCCTTGTTCCTGGTCACCTGGCTAAGGTGGGACAGTGGTGGAGACATTATCTCCTTGAAGCGTGGCTAATCCTCTTGTTGTCCTGGTTTCACTGAGCAAGAGTCATCGTGCTGCATGAAGTCAGACAACTCTGGCCTGGCTCATCAGTTTGTGGTGTTAAGCACTTTATGCAACCTGTGTAAGATTTAGGGCCCCTTTTAACAACCTAGGGACTTTATACCAACTTCTACAGAATAGTAAGAGAATAAGTAGGCCGTTTGAACCCACACAGAGATCTGGCGATCTGCTTCTGAAAGGTCACAGCCTTGGAACCCTATGGAACAGTTCTGCTCTGGACATGAGTTGGAACCGACTCGACGGCAGCTCACAGCAGCATATTCAGTGATGACGTGACAGTGTGCGGCCAAGCGTCTGTCCTGTCGGAGGCAGGCAGCCAGAGTGAGGCTGGTCGTCCTGCAGGTCACAGCAGGAACCAGCAGACCATGAGGGCCTCAAAAAAATGAGCCGCACAGGAGTCCTGTATGTGTGAGCTTGTGAATGTAGAAGATTGACATACACCAGATCTGTGGTTGTTAGTGTTAGGTGCCGTAGAGTCCGTGCCCACTCACTGTGACCGATGATAGAAAAGTATCATGCATGTGCAAAAGTTTGTTTCAATGTTTTGGGCTTTTTTTGATGCTCTTTTTTTTCCCTTAAATCTTTTTATGTGAATTGAGCAATAGTTTACAGGGCACATCTTCAGTTTTGCACTCAGCCAATCATATTTTGTTTCATTTCAGTGATTACAATTCCCTGCATGCACCATCGGTTTAATAATATTTACCTATCCCCCTTTTTATTTTTTTGACGTACACAAAACACGCAGAAAACATATATTCATTTAAATGACCAAAGGGCACATTTTGCAAGCCAGCTTTCTGCCCGCCTGCCCATAGCCATTTTCATTCCGTGGGTCTAGAACCCTCAGCTGCTCTCTCTCTCTCCATGCCATCTCCTCTGCTTCCATTTCTGATATCGCTGTTTCTCTGGTAAGGATCCCACCCTCTGCTCTTGCTCTTCCCTCTCGATGGTCCTAAGGTCCTCTGTTCCGGGAGCAAAAGATTAACTACTCCCCCCTTTTTGTTTTACATCTTCTACCTTTAGAGTGTGACATTCATAATTAGTCATAATAACAGTTACTGTGAATGAAAAGAATCCTAACCCCATTTTCCCCCATCCCCTTTTACCAGACCCATCTAGACAAGAGGAAAACTGTTCACGGGAAATTCTACCTTACCTTGTTCTGAAACTAAGCACACTCTTGAAAACGTTTAAGCCCACCACTGCATGCCTTTAGTATTTTTGGTAACCAATACTTAAGTTGCCTGTCCCTATCAACCCTGTGTCCTGAGGGGATAGGCTTGATCCTTGTTAGGAAGACGCCTTCCCTTTTGATTGGACTTTTGAGCAACTACATCCACAAGCGGAGGTCAAGTTCATCAAATTATAGCAGTTTACACTTGCTTCCTGTATCAAACTTACTTATTTTCCTCTAGTCATGTTCTGATCAGCAAGCCATCCAAGCTAGGTCAAATGGGTACCACCTGCAAGCTTGAATGTACTTGCATGCCTCCCTCCCCCAACTTCAGATCAGCTGTAGCCCCTAGTCACTAGGTCAGTGTGGTTTCAATATTCTTGAATGGCCTGCTTGGTGGCATTAAGCTGGGTACTGAACTCACAGCCCTGCCCTCAAGGAGCTTATTCATTACGAAGTACAAGGGGGCTTCACAGAGTTGGTGGGAAAATGTTAGCAACTGTTCACAACCCATTAATGGGCTGTGAAATGACTTTAGTGTAGGGTAAAAGGCCAAAATTTTTGATAAATGAAGTAGAACAAAAGGCATCATACATAAAGGGTAGGCTCCCAGTATTGCTGGGTGCCATTTTTGGGTATATGCATGCACATTTGTGAATGCTGAGGTATTAAATCTAGTATTCTTTAACTAGTGCGTAAGGGTACGCACTTAAAATTGCAAAAAAGAAAATTCCTTGTTTTTACTCAAAGGAAGTGTGTCTTTTTATTTAGACCTTTGCTGATCACTGTACATATCACAAAGATAAAATGATTGTTTAATTTTCACTTTCATACTTGTATCACCTGTGATAACGATTGAATTTAAAATGTCATTGCTCATTTCTTAGTCACATGGAATCTCTCTAAATACTTCTTTTCCTTTCACCAAGCCATGAGCTTAAAGTTCTTTTTAAAACCCTCAATTTGCTCAACCATGATACTTTCCGTTACACCGTATTTTTCTTATTTACTACAGATTTGGCTTTGAACTTCCTTGTGGAGATTATCAACTCCACTATTTTCCTGGCCGTATCTAAGGTTCATTTCCCCCTTGATATGTTTGTTGCCCCAGCCAGCCAGTCCTGTTGCATTGCTGACTGGATTCCTGTCAGGGATCCTGATAGAATTCAGGGAACCAGACTTAAGAGTTGCTATGTCAGTGACGCAGTAACACGACCACAGTCTGCAGTTGGACTCAACGGTAGACACTTCACCGGATGTTTCTGTCTGTGAACAGACATCCACAACTTCAGTGTTGTTGGCCATGATTGCATTTACATTTCTTTATAATATTTCTAGGAGTCTAGGAGTCTTGGTGTGGCAGTGTAGGATAAGCACTGGACTTCTAACCATAAGGTCAGTGATTTAAACCCACCAGCTGTTCCACTGAAACCCTGTACAGGGTTGCTATGAGTTGGAACCCACTTGATGGCTCTTGTTGTTTGTTGTTAAGTGCTGTTGAGTCGGTTCCGACCCATAGCGACCCTGTACAGGGTTTCCGAGGGTGTAAATCTTTATGGGAATAGAAAGCCTCATCTTTATTCCGCGGAGCGGCTGGTAGTTGCAAACCGCTGACCTTAAGGTTCGCAGCCCGATTCATAACCACTATGCTACCAGAGCTCCTTAGCAACAACATAATTATAAGTGTCTTTTGTATTTCATTCTATAGACCTTTAAACTTGATGGGACTTTCAGCCTTCAATCTTTTCATATTCAAATCATATAACTTTTATAGATATTTTTAACACATTATCTGTAGAAAGCTGAAAAATGGTCTGTTGTCAACCCCCCGCCCCCAAAAAGATCCATCCACATTTTAATCCATGGAGTCTGTTGATACTACCTTGTATGACCTCCCAAAAAAAGCATTTTCATATGTGACAAGTTAAGGATCTTGAGATAGGAATTATCCAGGAAGCTCAGTCCTATCACGTGATCCTTAAAATAGTGGAAGGCAGAGGGAGGCAACTTGATACATACCCAGGAGATGGTGGCATCTCCTGGGTATGTATCAAGATAGAGCAGAGAGAGACTGAAAGAGTTTGGCCCTGCAGGTGGAGGTTATGCAACCACTTGTCAGGGAATGCTGGCAGCCACCAGAGTCCTTAGACAAGGAAGGAGCAGATTCTCCTGAGTCTCTGGAGGGAGTGTGGCCCTGCTGACATCTGACCATCAGCCCAGAAACTTGAATTCTGAGCATCTGTCCTGTCCTGTGAGAGATTAAATTTCTGTTGGAATCACTTGTCCCAGTGGTTGCAGAAGACAAATACAATGTCCAGTTGAATCTGGGTCTCCAATGGATTGGTCAGACTTTGAGCCACAACTCAAGTGGTATTCTACTGATATGAACTCCTTTCGTTTTTTTTTTCACTAGATGCTCAACTTAAAGTGATTATTTACTGTGAGTAACATTAACAATCTTACGTTTTTCTAGGCTGCCAAACTTTTTGATGAAGAGGGAAGGAAAAAATTCTTTACACAAGATATGAATAATATTCTTCTGGAGTAAGTAATCTTTTTCTTTGATGAAAAAACTTTTAAGAGCTATTTTATTCATTTACTCTACAGAAGGCTTTTGAGAGGCAGCTGCTGGGCGATGGGTCATCTCATGCAGTAGCTCCCTGTCTCAGCCTGATTGGAATGATGTGTCTGTATCTTCCTGCTCGTCAGGACTCTCCATACTCCCCATTGTCAGAGCTCCCTATGTGCTGTCGGCCCGAGAAAAGGACAGCTACACAGCTTGAGTAGTCACTTGGACTAGTCACGTGGTTAGAGCATTCAGCTGCTAACCGAAAGTTTAGTGGTTCTAACTCACCAGCTGTGCCATGGGAGAAAGCAGTGAAAGTCTGCTTCCATAAAGATGGCAGCCATGGAGCCCCCTCTGGAGCAGTTCTCCTCCGTCCTGTGGGGGTCACCATGAGTCAGAATCGCCTCAGAGGCAACAGGTTACATGAAGGTGCCTCTCTGGAAAGCTCAAAGTGGGCGTATTAAGTTTGCTGTAATTTCCCATCGGCTTTCATTGTCCAAACTCAGGAGTTCATTCTAATCATAAAAATGTTTGTCACCAAATGGAAAGTGTGGTTGTTGGGTGGGATGAGTGTTGTGGATGGGCCGAAGGCTGCTACATGATATCAGTTGTGGATATTTTATTTTCTTCAGATTTTGTTTTTGGTGAAAAGATACCACAGCAAAATCCACTCCCATTTCAGGGTATATAAACATAATGATCAGAGAGATTGGTCATATTGTGTCACCATTCTTGTTATTTCTGTTCCAGTCGTTTCAGTTTCACTGACTTCGTCTCCGGGCTTTAAAATAGCTGCTGACCCTTTGGTTTAGATAGATTTAAAATAGTTTCAATTAACACAGTACTTAAGAGTGACAATCTTTTTACTCTTTGGGCTAAACTGCTACATAGTTCAAAGGTGTCTTGAGGGGAGGACTTTGAATTCAAGGTGTGAAGAGCAACTCAGGCCCAGTCTCAGGGACTCTCCAGTCTCAATAGGGCCAGGAGATCTGAATTCTCTAAAAAATTGAAGTTCTATTCCACATTTTTCTCACTTTTTGTCAGGATTTCTTTATTATAGTCATAACATTCAGTGGTGGTAGCTGGGCACCATCTAGTTCTTAGGGTCTCTAGGTGAAGGAGTCAGTGGTTCATGTAGACCATTAGTCCTGTAGTCTAGTTCCTTCTCTGATTCTTGTTTTGCTTTTTCTCCAGATGAATAGTTGTATCTTAGGTGGCCACTTGTACATTTTTAAGATCCCAGACACTGCTCACTATCCTGAGAAGTAGACCATAAATTATAAGAACTTGATTAGGTCCATTGACAAGACCACGGTCCTAAACCCCCAAACCAAGAGAATTAATCCCATGAGCTGATTGGTTATGTCTAATTATTATGGACATCGGTAGCCTTTCGCCCTCCTTAGTTTTTGTTACAGAGTCTTACACGATCTAGCCTATTCATCCCTTTTCCCTTATTGACCTCAGTTACATCATGCTGTGCAAACTTCACCCACATATGGGTGTTCCCATTTCTGTAAACAATGCCACTGTTCCATTGCTGTAAACAAAAGTGGCTGCTACCTACAGAGTGAAGTCCTTGTGTGGCACTGTAGGATAAGCACTGGACTACTAACTGCAGGGGTAATAGTTCAAACTTACTAGTCACTCCTTGGAAAACCCTATACAGGGTTGCTGTGAGTTGGAATGGACTCAGTGTCCCTGAACAACAACAAGGAGTAGTACTGAGGAGTGTGCTTCCCCATGACCTCTGCCCACTTTACCACTAATGGGCTTTGCTGTTAGGTGCCAATGAGAGTTTCCCATGTCCAGCAGCAGAATGAAACCCTGCCTGGTCCTACACCATCCACACAATACGTCATTGCTATATTGAAGCCCATTGTTACAGCCACTCTGTCAGTCCTTGATGAGGTCATTTTCACTAGCTCTCTGCTTTACCAAGCATGGTATCCACCTCTTAGTAGAAGTTGCTATACTCAGAAGCAACATAATGGTAGTGTGTGAGCAACATTAATTTTTATAGATTTACCTATTTATAGATTGTGTTTAAATTGGTGATAATGTTGTCCTTATTGAGTAGTGTTTGGTTCTAATGAAGCTGTGGGTTCTGTGGCCGTGGTTCATATAAGATCCCCCTCACACCCATTGGCAGCAGGAACTGAGTGTCATTGACTCCAAGCAGAGCTGATGGAGCTGCAGAAGGGGCCTGTGTGCCTCTAGGAAGAAGTGTGTACCACCACAGTCCTGCCTTTTAACACAAAATGTGGTGAGTTGGCCATGTCGAGAAGGAAGTTCTAATAGCTCTTTAATTAATTAAATCTCTGACTATATCCTTAGGAAATGGCTTTGGTCACCAGAGACACTTGGAACCTGTAGTATAGAATGCAGCTAGCCTGGTGGCAGATGAATTTCAGGTGGATTCTGTCTGAAAGGAAGGCACATGCATCCTGTCTGCTCCCCCACCTTCTACCCGGTTCCCTGTAATCTCCAGACTCAGTAAGGATGTAACCATCACTGCCTAGCGCCACCCCAGATTATAATCTGGGAGCTGACTCCTGTCTTTCACTGGGAACCCTGAGTTGACGGGCAGACCCTCCTGCTAGGCTAAGCAGGCTCTTGTGGAGTTGATGCATCTGTGAGAAGGAGGGACTGCTTGTCCCCTGGGGGAGCCTCCAAGCTTGTCTTCAGGAGTTAGCATCTCATGTGAGCAGACGGTCAGCATTCCAGTTCAAGCGCCCAACATTGGGAGTCTCTCTATCTTTTCTTTCTTAGAGACAGTGCCACAGTCCCTGAGACCCTGCACTTCGAAGTTGTTTTTATTCACTTATTCCCACTGGCCTCTTTGTCCACATAAACATTTCTTCAATCTGTGGACTGGTTGGGTTTTCTAAGGACCTAAGGTACGGAATCACCACCACCACCAAGGTACGGAATTATTCAGGGTAGTGATTCTCATTAGATAATTCAGTTGCCTCCTAGTGCTGAGGAGAAAGATACCATTTAGAGTAAACCAAACCACAGACCCACTTCTATTGAGTCCATTCTGAATCCTAAGCAACCCTGTTAGACAAAGTGGAAGTCTCTAGTGTTCCTGAGGCTGTAAATCTTTATGGAAGCCAGTGGCCTCATCTTTCTTCTGTGGAGCAGCTGTTGAGTTTGAACCATTGACTTTTCAGTTAGCATCCCAACACTTCACTGTTTGCCCCACGAGGGCTGTTTGTGGAATTGGGAGCCCTGTTTCTTTCGAGCTAACTGGATTTGGTACAGGTCGGTAGATGAGCAGCCTGTTGACTCGAGCCCTCTGTTTTTCCTGCTTGTGTTGAACACCGGCGCTCTGTGCCTGTGATCCTGATTCACTGTCACCCTGACAGTACTGCTCTCCAGATGACACCAGGCAGGTCCTAGCAGCAGACCCAGCTGTACACCCGGCCACGCACCTGCTTCCTGGTGTTGCTTTAGGGAGCTCATGAGTGAGGTGGTGGTGGTGTGCCATGGAGTCGGTTCCAACTCACAGTAACCCTGCAAAGGGTTTCTGAGGCTGTAAATCTTTACAGGAACAGAAAGCCTCATCTTTCTCTTGCGGAACAGCTGGTGGTTTCAAATTGCTGACCTTGAGGTTAGCGGCCCAACTTGTAAGCACTACGCTACCAGAGCGCCTCATGAGTGTGAATCATATCGCTGAGGGCCACGTTAATCTGTTACTTTTGCTCTCTCTCTTCTCTCTCTCTCTCTCTCTCCACCTCTTCCTCCAACAATAAAGGGAGGGTACCAGAGTGAAGGGGTTGAGCCTGTGTCACCGCTTTCCTCTCTATTTTTTTAACTATTGTGAATTAGATGTCAGTTTACAGAGCAGATGATCACTCAGTTCATGCATATTTTGTTTCATTTCGTTGATTGCAGTCCCTGCACTATACCATCCCACTTCCTCCCTGTGTTTCCTGTTTCCATTCCTCCTTTTCTAACTCTTCTGAACTTTGTCCTTGGGTAAATGTTGCCCTTTTGATTTCAATTGGTCGATTATTCTAAGGTGTATCTACCTCACTAGTATTCTTGTTCCCCTTACAGTCAGTCCTGAATGGTGATTGGCTGAAAGGTGATCCGCAGGAATGAATTTGTTTCTAGACCTGAAAGGTAACGAAAGGCCATAGTTTTAGGGCCTACCAGTCTCAATCTGACCAGTAAGCCTGATATTTTTGATTTTGAGTTTGGTTCCACATCTGTCTTTCATTCTATCTTGGGCCTTCCGGAGTGATCCCTTTTAGAGCAGTGAGGCACCATCTAGTTCATCCAGGCCTCGGGGTCCTGGAGGCTGGTGTTCACATGGTCTGTTGGTCTGTCGGACTAATTGTTTCTATTTGTCTTAGGTTTTCATCACTCTTCTTTCTTTTGGACAGTGATAGACAGACCAGTAATTGAAACGCTCGTCAGTACGGTAGCTGATAACAGGCAAGAGACCAGTAGTTACACCTTAGATGGCTGCTCACTCATGAGCTTTTAAGTCACTACTCAACAAAGTAGGGTGTTGAACGCTGTCTGTGTGGACTTGTTTCCAGTACTTTTTTGAAGGCTTACTTTTCAGTTGGAAAAACCCTACACAGTTTTCAACTCTATCTCTAACCTTTTCAACACTAAGTCGCTTACAGTAACACTGGAGTCGGCCTGTCTGCATAAAGATGGAACAGGAATGACCAACACCTAATCAGCTTTCCATTCAGCAATTCTGGAAAGCCTCAGAATACAACTGGACACTTGAGATAGGACCTGTTTCATTTCCGGAAATAGCTCTAACTTTGTAGAGTTTTTCCAGCTGCAAAGTATCCTCTCAAAAAAGTAATGGAAACGCACCCCAAATGCAGCGTTGTCCATCCTACTTTAGTGAGTGGGGGCGGGGCTCGTAACGACTCCTGAGCAGCCACCTGAGGTGTAACTATGGGTCTCTGCCTATTAGCAGCTAACATTTGCTGATGAGCTTTTGAAAGACTGCTCTCCCAGAAAAGTGATTCTGGGCTTAGATTATTGCCCCTGAGTTTCCTTCAGTTAGTAGCTCTCAACAGCTGTGCTATTTGGAGTATATTTTGTTTTTGTTACTAAATGCCGTCAAGTTGGATCTGACTCATAGCGACCCTGTTTAGGGTTTCCAAGAAGCAGCTGGTGGATTTGAACCCCCAACCTTACAGTTAGCAGTCCAGTGAGGAAAAATCTAGGAAGTTCATCAGATCTCAGAATTTATACAACTCTAATTAGTCAGAGGTTTTCTGATATGTTACCCTGACTGAGATTTTCTGATGTTTTTCACTGACAGAGAATTTCTAGCATTTTTCACTGACTAAAAAATACAGATCCTGTTTCCTTAAAAAGAGGGAGTTAATATCATCGGCAGCTATGTCACATGTCAACTATGGGGCAAGAGCGCCATTCTTGAGTCCTGAGAGGAAATTCTATGGTATTTTGTACTCCTGAGCACAAGAGCCTTGTTTACAAAGGAACCGTTGCTCCAGCTGTGGATTCCCACAGTGTACTTCCTGACACTTCTCTGGAGACAGACAAGAGGGCCTTGTAGAGTTCCAGCCTACTCACCTTCACTGATGAGAGCCCTTTGTGATCTCCAGCTCATGATTGATGATCGGTGTTCTCAGATCCTTCATGGAAGGATATCTGCTTGTGGGCTAGATTGCACTTCAGGAAGGAAAAGGAGCCAGAATCCCAGCACTTGGTAGGGAGAATTGGGGCAGGGTTTGAAGACGTTCACCCTGCCGGATGTTGAACAACACTTTTATTTATCATAGGACCTGTGACAACTTCTGAGGACAGTCACACTTCCCTTGCTAGCAATTTTAGTTACTCCATGCACTTCCTAGTCCTTGTTGTTGTTGTTGTTAAGCCCCGTGTAGTCGGTTCCGACTCATAGTGACCCTACACAGGGTTTCTGAGGCTGCAAATCTTTACAGGGCAGAAAGCCTCATCTTTCTCCCATGGAACAACTGATAGTTTCGAACTGCTAACCTTGAGGTTAGCAACCTGATTCGTCACCACTACGTTACCAGAGCTCCTTAGAAGACTGGAATTCCTAATGAGGAAAAAATTACTAAGGTGTGTTAGGAATGTATCCTTAGCATTCAGAATGTGTACATACAAGGGAACTTCACAGAGTTTCTGGAAAAGTTCCATTGTCCTTCTGTTCCATTCCTTCACACGTTTTTTGTAAGTAGGTCATTGAGTCAGGCTGACTTTTGCTGGGACTCTCTTAGCACTTGGAGTTTCTCTTTTATTTTCAGCTCCGATTTACCTTCAGCAATACTAGGCCTCCTTTTAAATAAAGACTGGGTTAGTTCTCTAGTGCTACTATAGCAGAACTAACATCGTGGAGGCTTTAGAACACTGAAATGTATTCTCTCACAGTTAGGAGGCTGGAAGTGTGATTGAGGGCCCCAGTCCAGGGGAGCCTGTCTGTCGGTGTCAGCTCTAGGGGAAGGTCCTTGTCTCCCATCAACAGTGCTGGGCCCTGCATTCCTTGGAAATCTGCATGTGTCTTGGTATTAGTCTTCCCCTGGGTCTAGAGGTTTCTCAGGGCAGGGCTCCTGTGTCTAAAGGAGCCACTCCACTCCCGGCTCTCCTTGCTTAGTGGTAATATGTCCTTCTGATCTCTGCTTACTTGTTTAATCTCTTTTATGTCTCAAAGAGATTGAAGATAGAACCTATTCCTGTAGATTTGATCATATAATCTTGTTAGTATAACTGCCACTGGGTCTGACTCATAGCGAAGTGACCCTGTATAGGGTTTCTGAGGAGTAGCTGGAGGGTTTAAGGACCTTGAGGTTAGCAGTCCATTGCTTATCCAACAGGGCCACACCAGGACTCCACATCACAGAGGGGAGGATTTGTAACACAGAGGATAAGCACATCAGATCACAAAATGAGAACCATGGCCTAGCCAAATTGAAACATATTTTTGGGTCCCTAGTTCAACCCATTCTAAGATACCACAACATCATCTAACCAAAGGTTTAATCTCGTGACCGTAGTGGGTTTCCACAGGACCCTCTGTATTTGACCCTTTGCTTCTCCTTTTTCTTAAACTTGCCATTTTTTATTGTCTGTATGGCTTCTCTAATATAATCATGTTCTAGTACCAACTTCAAAAAGCACAATTTTCCAAATTTTGTTGTTTCTGGAATTCCAATGTCTTATTGGTGGTGTGTAGTATGGTAGGATTGCTGTGCTGAAAATATGATAACTCTTACAAACTTCTCTCTCTTTTACTATTATTAGGCTAAATACTCTCCTAGTAGTTTATTTTCTCTCTCAAAAACCTAATTTATAAATAGAAGCTAGAGAATTGAATTTTTTTTTTTTTTTTTTACAAAATCCGTATTTATTCCATGTATGCAGGAACGCTAAGAGAAACACAATGGATAAAATAGTTCATGTGTACAACTATAGTTTCAGCAAACTTCCGAGTGGTATTGAGGTACTTGTGCTCCACCCTAGAGTCCTGGTGTGGTGCTGTAGGATAAACACTAGGATGCTAATCGCAAGATCAGTGGTTCAAACCCACCAGCTGTTCCTTGGAGCCCCTGTATCGGGTTGCTTTGAGTTGGAACCAACTCCACAGCACTAAGAAGAACACAACATGCTTTACCTTATAACATAGACTTTGCCCTGTTCCCAAAACATCATTTACCACCTTGTGTATATAAATTGTAGTCTTAGCTAGCCTCAGAATACCTTCTCAAGTATTACTATTTATTGGGATGTTTTTTCCAATGAAAAAATACCATGTAGGAAACCATGGCCAGACAAAGTAAGAAAAGAAGCTACTTTTTTTTTTTTTTTTTTAATTCAGTTCTCTAATTCCTGTTTCTGTTGGTAAAATAGGTTGTTGAGAAAGAAAATAAATTACTAAGAGAGTGTTTAGTCTAATGGTAGTAAAAGGGAGAGAAGTTTGCATTTTCAGCTACTGCTACCTCTGAGCTATGTGATGCTGCCTGAGAGAAAGGCCACCATGTTTATTTCTTGTTGTCGTTGGTCAGCATTGAGTTACAACTACAGGAGCTGGGCCCTGTCATTCGGAGTGGTGTCTATTCCCATCTTGAAGCTTTTGTGCCATGCAACAAGGAAGCGCTGGTGAAACGTCTCAGGAAGCTGCATCTCAATGTCCAGGTAAGTCTGCTGTCAGCTGGAGCGCCTGCACCAGGGGGCGTAGCCTGTCAAAGACCAGTAACCCTAGGAGGCAATTACAGGTATATTGGATCCCTTTCAACAGTTAATGGGTTTAGATGAGAAATCACAATGTTTTCTTAGACATGGATCTTTGGATTGGTAAATTGATGTCAATTCCATAGCTGATCAGCTTTGCCCTCAATGTTTTTATAACTCAGTGGATATATAATATCCACTTCATACATGCTCACAGGGTTGGGTGTAAACTTAGCAATGACATAGTCCCTTCATCCATGTTGTGCTTGATTCTCATCTGCTGCAGCCGTGCCCAATGGCTAGTCCCGGGACTGGTACCCTGCCATGTTAGAGCACTCAAGATCTGCTGCTTCCCATCCATGGGTCTAGTTCTCTTTGGGGTCCAATCACAGCCTCATCACCTTCCCTTTTCATGGCACTTCATGTTTTCGATCCCTTTTATTGCACGCAAACCTTCTGTGAGGTGGATTTCAGTGACTCCGCTAGTTGCTCTTCTCAGGATGAATTTATTTGCTGATAATAGTTTAAAACGTTTACATAAATCTGTCAAAACATAAAAATGTGTACATTTTATTGAATATAAATCTTAAACCAGGTTGATGTTTTAAAATGAAGGCAAAATGAACACATTTTTAGATCCTTTCTCCAAATGGAGGGAAAAAAAGGTTAGCAAACATTTAGAACTTGGTAGTTATAGGAAATAAAGGTTGTTTATAAAATTCAAGGGCCAGAAAGTAATGGAGAAGGGTTAAGAACTGGTCATGAGGGTAGACTATCTCTCTATTTCTCCCCCGTCTCGCTTGGACACTTGGATGCACGTCTGCACACAAAGTGACTTTATTGCCAAGCCTCATATTCCAGAATATGTTCTGTTTTCCCACCTCAGTCCATATTCTTGGAAGAAATCTGATTTCTCCCATCTTGGGTCAGCCTGGTCTGGCTGCTGGGTGGGAGTCATGCAGCACAAATGTGGCTCTCCACACCAGTCAGCATATTGCCCTGGATTGAGCATCATGCCGTAGGTGTGATCTGACAAGCAGAGGTTCCTTTTTATAGGTGCTTGCTATACCTCTGTTAATAAAACATTTATTTTATTTGAGAAACTGCGGCAGTGAACAAATGAAATTTATTTGTGGTATCAGGTTAGGGCTTCTGCTTGGCAGGTTGACCACTAGATGCCCAATGACAGAAGTGGGAGGCCAGTAAGTGTGGCATTGTAGGGTAAGCACTGGGCTGCTAAACAAAGTTGGCAGTTCAAACCCACCAGCTGCTACTGGGAAACCCTTTACCGGATGACTGAGTCGGAAGCAACTCGACATTACTACTCAACAGAGTAACAGCTTTTTGCAGATTGTGAAGTGTCTCCATTTGAGGGTTGTGGTTGTGCTTATTAACTGTCTCTGTTGGCTGCAGGGAAGTGACATGGGCCCAGTGGCTGGCTTCTCTCTCTGTAGTTTGAGTGCATGTGTTTGTATCTGTACACACCCTATAAGAGGGCTTCAAAAAAGTTCATGGAAAAGTGGAATTAAAAGAGAATGGAATTTTTCCACGTATGTTTTGAAGTGATACCTACACACACACCACTGTATTATGTAGTTTTCTGTGTGATTGATCTTCAGATCAATGGAATCCTACTGTCTTATTTCCTTCTGCAACTTGATTTTTGACACACATCATCAAGTTCCCAAATTTCTCTATTTTTACATCCAGGGCAAGTCCATTAATTTTTACAGTTCTATATCGAATGTTCTGCTGTGTGAATGTATCCCAATATTGAATGTTCTGCTGTGTGAATATATCCCAATTAACTGTTGGATGCTATTGTTGTTGACTGTTTTTTTTTGATGGACATACCTGAGGATATAATCTTTGCTCCAGAATTCTTAAAAAGCACTCATCCAGCAACCATGACACCAGGCTTACATCTTTTAACACAAGTATTCATTACTTGGTGTGTATGAGAGAGGGTTAAAATGCTACTAGCAGTAATACTTATTGTACTTTTTATTAATGACTTTATATAAAACACCTCCCGTAACAGAATGGTTGTGTTCCTAAAAAGCCCACCGTTGTGAAAATCACATTTTATAACCATCTGTTTCAGTGAAGGAGGAGCAAGGGGACTAGAGAGCTTGACTCTGACAGTCAACCTGCAGAGAGCTTGACTCTGACAGTCAACCTGCACCTGTGACAGAATTAAAATGGTTCACGTTCTTCGTCTGGACGCTGTTCTTTTCAAGATCAAAATGGGCAAGTGTTCTTTTCAAGAACAGACCTTGTCTTTTGTCCAGAACCCACCTGGATACCGGTTTCCTTTTGCCAGGTCAGCCTTGACCTTGCATTTTTGCTGGAAGCCCAACTCACAATGACATACAGGAAGTGAGAAAAATAGGATGCCAGCATCCTGTTGGTAGTCATCCAGCCAAAATGTGTCCTGGTGTTCCAGAGCAGCATCATGGGCGTTGGCACGTTGTAACCTGCACATGTAGATGTGTCCTCTTTGTAACTGTGTCACTGTTCACATATCCATGTAGTGTATTGTTAAAACATGGACAAGTTGTAAGAATGTAAAGGAGCACTCTTAATAATTATTGTAGGCAGCAAGCAGAAACTGGGACTCTCCTTAGTTAATAGAAAATATGGTCATCCTGGTGTGGTGCCGTGGGTTAATGCACTGGGCTGAAACGTCGCTTTGAACTGCAAGGTTGAAGGTTCAAGCTCACTTAGCTGCTCCCCAGAAACCCAATACAGGGTCGCTATGGGTCGGAATTGACTCAATGGTACTTAACAACAATGATGCAGTGGCTTAAGCATTGGACTGCTAACCAGAGTTGGTGGTTCAAATCCACCAAGTGTTCCACAGGAAAAAGATGAGACTACTGTTTCCATAAAGATTCACAGTCTCTGCAACTCTTTAAGAGCATCTGCTCTGTCCTATAGGATTGCTGTGAGTGGGATTTGACTCGTTAACAGTGTTTTTAGGTAATAATAATCCTGTTTACATTATGAAAACTCAGTGTCTTTGAACAAACATCCATATTTAAGTATGCTAATGGCACTGTGAAGTCCTGGTGTGGCCCTGCAGATTAATGTGCTGGACTGCAAGGTTGGTTTGAACCACAAGGTCAGTGGTTCAAACTCACCAGCCACTCCTTGGAAACCCTATGTAGGGTTGCTATGAGTTCGAACTGACTCAACAGCACTCAATAACAGTGGTGCTGTAGGATCAGCACTAGACTGTGAACCACAAGGTCGGCAGATCAAATCTACCAGCTGCTCCTCCAAAACCCTATACAGTGCCTCTGTGAGTCGGAACAGACTCGACAGCACTTAACAACAACAACAATCTTTCAAATATGTATGTAATCAATTTCTGAAATAAAAATATTATCCTTGGAGTCATTGCTTGCAAAGATAAATATGTTTGAACAAACTTGTAGTATATTTTCTCTTCAGGATGACCGTTTAAGAGAGCCTCTGCAGAAGTTGAAGGTGGCTGTTAGCAATGTCATGCCCGAGCAGCTGTTCAAGTACCAGGAGGACTGCCAAGCGCGGAGTCAGGCCAAGTGTGCCAAGTACGTACCTCTCCAGTTTGCACTTGAGGAATACTTTGAGCTGCTAGGGGTTGGTCTCAAGTCACTTCATCACCAAGGAGAACACCAGCTTCTCCTTTAAAATAACAGCAGTGGAGCTTTTCTAAATGACACCCTTGCTCTAATGTCAAAGGCAAAAAAATGTTTGTTGATTGGCCATGGATGTGACCAAAGTGGCACTTGCCTGTAGTCAGACGTTGCACATGCTGACTTGACTGACTGGGGTTGAACGCAAATACTCCCTGAACTGGAAGAGGCGTGTCTGTGCCTTTATCCTCTATCGCCAAATCATGTGTTAGCACATTCCCAATTCAGAGTACTGTGCATGGGGGACGGTGCATCCCGTTATCTGTCAGGTTCATATTCAAGTGAGCAACTCAGCAAGTGTTTATAGAGGATATTATTATAGGCATGTTTGGGCTAGAACTTTGGTTCATAAAATGTTTTCCTCTTTAGGTTGCAAACAGATGAAGAGCGAGAAAGAAATGGATCCGAGGAAGATGATGATGAGAAGCCGGGGAAACGTGTCATAGGTCCAAGAAAGAAATTCCACTGGGATGACACACTTAGGTGAGATTTACCCCAGGCTCACTCTGACCAGACTTGGTGCTGAATGAGGTTCCTCACAAAAGGCATCACCACCACCAGCCTGAAAACTACTATGTAGTTGTTTATCTACATACAAATTAGGTAGCTGAGCATTCAAAAGGAGAGGAATTTGATCCTGATGTCCTTGGAGTACTATTACATTGCTTTTGTATGTTGTTGTTGTTGTTGTTAAGTGCCATCGAGTCGGTTCCGACCCATAGCGACCCTGTACAGGGTTTCCGAGGGTGTTTTACAGCTTTTATTGTGTGACTTGAGTGATAGTTTACAATGCAGAACGTCAGTTTTTCAGTCAACCAATTGTATTTTGTTTCATTGCAAAGATTTGTATAGTAATTCTTCAGAGATAATCCTATTATCATTGCTGTTGGACTTTGTGCTTTTTGAACAATCTGTTCAGAACTTAATTTTCCTTAATTTTATAGTCATCCATTTTCTTTTTAATCTATTTAGAACTTTGTTATGTAACCTTGTTGAAATCAAATTGGGATGCTATGAGTTAGAACCGAATAAAAGCCAGTCAGCTGAGGATTATCTGAAATCCTTTATGGAGACAGAAGTGAAGCCATTGTGGCCCAAGGGTTGGATGCAGGCAAGGTAAGAAATGTGACTTCCTAGATTTTCTTGTGCTTTTTCACTGTTGCTGTTGTTACACGCACATGCCTTTTGTTTGCCAAGAACTTAATGTGCTCAACACCAACTCGGGTGATCTCTGCATTGAGAACGTCACACAATTAAAGGATTAAGCAATTTGTCGTGTGGGCATAGAGACACATGTAAAGGTGATTTTTACTGACTTCCCTTTCTTTCTTGGCACTCTGAATTGGCAAGGAGAGGGAAGAAAGTAAGGAAATGTGGGAGGGGGACTTCATATGGACAGTGTGAAGCAAAGGAAGTGAATCTAGGCTCTAGAGTACAGATAAAGGAGGCACACACAGCCTCAGACTGAATTTGGTCAGGTAAGAGCAGTAACTCAGAAAGCTAGCATACTATAAAGATGTTAGAGTAAAGAATGTTAAAATTAACAAAAATTGTGAATGAGATCTTAAAACCTGTCATGGTAAAATACTCCATCTTCAATCAACAGAAAAGACTTGTTGCTCTGTGAATTAAGATTTCAAAAAATAGAAGTGGTATAAAATACCCTATAAAAATAGATCATTGAGTTTACTGTACCATTGCAGCTTTTATAGCCTACTGAAAGTCAAATGATTAAAAAGTAAATAAAGTGATCAACATGTTATTATCATCTATAAAAAACATCGTGTCCTTTTACATTTTCCAGAATGCTTTTTAAAGAAAGCCGGAGTGTGCATAATCATCTTACTTCTGCTCCGTGAGTAAAAACAGACTCCAGATTCCTGTATTTCTATTCCTATTATGTGCTTTGTTAAATGCTAGTTAAAATCAGACTGAAACGTCCATTTCAGGTACAGCCCCTTCTCCCTTACGTTGCCACTGTCTTTTAAAACTATCATGTTTTCAGGCCGGTCTCCAGAAACACACTGGATCATGGTGATGGTGTGAGGTGCTATTGAGTGGCGGCCACCTTGCATATAACTCTGCACCAAGGAAATGCTGTCAGGCTCACTGAACCAGTAGTGAAGCCGTGGGCAGCTGTGTAAATGGGCAGGAGTGGGTATTCTCCTTTGTTCCTGGGCTTTCAACCCTTGGTCTAGTTGGGTCTTCCCTGACACCTCTTAATGATCACCTGCTTCTAGCTTCCCCAAGCCCTGCCCTGTCTTGCCGGGTCTTACCGGGGATTTATCCACAGAATTAGCCTCTTTTTCAAAGCTATGTGTTAACTAAGGAAAGACCTCTCCTCTTCCTGATGGGCAATGAAAAAGGCAAGCTTTGATCTGTGGTTACATTTTTGGGGTGAATACTAGACACTTTTGTTCGCATTTTACTTTTACTTTCGACTTAATGCTCTTCTTTTTAGCCTGCAAGTAAAGGATTAAAGCTTCTTCAGGTTATAGGAGGTCTAGTTAGCATCTTTTTTAGCAGTGTTACACAATGCTTCCTTTGCTAATATATGGTTATAATAGATAAATTTGTTTCCCATTTTTAGGAAGGACTATGGTCCTGTATTTAGTTTGGTTGTGGATTTCATCTCTTACTGGTCTGATTTTTAATATAAATTCTAGGTTGTATGGATTTGTTTGTTTCAAGTAGTTTAGCTACCTCTGAAAAATGTGTATTTGTATCAATAATATTTCTAAACTATAATTTACCCATGATTTTAAAATCACACATTACTTTCAGGTATGAATAACTCATGCCTTGGGTTCTAAAGCAGGTATTTGTGTTGTAAGTCTCCTATCCTTACATTTTTTAAATAACTTCTATTTTTATCACTAACTTCATTTGTTTGGTATCAAACAATAGGAATCTATGGAACAAATGGGCCTGGGATTATTTGTCCAAGTGCTCACCTTTGAAAATGACTGCCTTAATTCAGTTGTAGAGCAACAGCCTTAAATCAAGATAGGCGTTAATCTAACTAATGATGTTTTGATAAAGTACAAATATTCAAATAACACAAGGGATCTTAGCCTGTCAACCCTTTGGTTATTTACCAAGAATTTACAGAGCACCTCCTCTTCTGTAACCCAGATGAGTTTTTAAATCTTTAAACTACTTCATACAGATTCCCAAAGATCCCAAGCATGCACAATCTGTTTTCTTGTCCCCTCGCCCTATTTTGAGTCACTGAGTTTTTGCATGTAGAAAGTGTTGTCTTTTTTGTTTGTTTTAAATTTGAGGGGGGTTTCCTTGTGGTTTGAGTCAAACCTTCCTCAGAACTTGTTGGCAAGGGTGGATTTGAGCTTGGGGTTCTTGAAATTCTGCTTATCTAATCAATAATTGTAGATTTTTTTTCTCTTATTCGTAAAAAAGTGAGTCTCTTCACCCAGCTTTGCAAGCCTGCATTGAGTTATTTTATAGTTGAAGTATTTACACTTCATTAAAAAAAAAAAATTATCATTTACATTTTGTGTTTTACTAATGATACGACCTTTTCTCCAGTTGACATCTTTTCCTGTGTAGTCACATATAATTGATGCCCTTCCCTCAGAGAGCCTCCCATGGATAGAGTCAGGTGTCAGAGCTGCTTGGTGAATGCTCTGGACACAACTGAAATGGTCTTTTCATCTTTTCTCTTAGGGCAAAGAAAAAGGTGGTTCCTGCTCCTAAACCTAAAGTGAAGGTATGTACCAAGCCAGCTCTTCATTAATCAGAGTGGGTGAATGTTGGAATATATGCTTATGATTAAAAAGGCAACTTCTGTTTCAGGTTGATAAAGAGAGATTTCATTATTTAGAAAAACTTTTTTAGAAAAAATTCATATTTTAGACTTATCATATTTCAAATAGATGAATGGGAATTTTCGGACTTGGTAAAAAATCCTCAGACCTTAGTGTTGGGGGTATAGCTGGCTGTGTGCAACAGAAGGATTTTGTGACGTGGTGAAATTACCGCACCTGCTGCTGAATAAAATGGTACAAGTGTTCTGTCAAAGAATAGCTGAGATGGCACGAATTTCAGAATCTCTAAGAGTCAAAGACAAAGAAAGAACTGGTCCAGTGTCCGTGTCGTGGGTTCCGGGGTTGTCCTGGGACCTGCTGCACCTCCTAGTTTATCATCTTATTCTTAGAGCATAGCTGTCCAGACCTGTGGGTTTGTTCTGGGGTGAGATTCAAAATGAGACCTGCTTAAAGTCTGAGCTTCTTGAAGAATAATGCCTTCAGTCAAAGAAAGGACTAGAAAAAGATGTACTCACTGGCAGAGAAAGCCTGGGGCCCTGGAAGAAGGTCTCCCTAACCATTTGAGCATTTTCCTGGTCTGGAAGTTAGATTTACACGCATGCACAACCTGGAAAGTAACTTTAAAAGGATTAGGTTACTAGCACCCCTGTAGGCCTCCCAGGCTGACTGCAGATAAAGCCCATGTGCAGTGTGAGCTCACAGTCTGAATATACAAGAAACAAGCTACTGTGAGTGAGAGTCAGCAGAAACCATAGATAAGAGAATTCTCTCCCCGAGAACCCAAAGTGGTAGACCACGGATTGGCTGCGAGGCAAAAATCATTTTAAGTACTTTGAAAAGTTAAAGGGGAGACCAAAAAAAAAAAACTCTATCCAAGTAAAGAAAGCAGATTTGAAAGAATAACCAGTATAATCTTTAGAAATGATAACTATATAAAATCATTTGAAATTGAATTTTCATGATAGTCATACCCTTAGGTTTGAACTGCCCCCATTTTCTCCATGTTCTCCATGAGTAGATAGCTGCTTTGCTTATGCAATTGGGTCCAGAAGGTCAACATTTGTTTCTCTTTATTCCTGAACTTAGATGTCAGGTTCTCTGGCTTACAACAGGCTTCTGTTCTAACATTAGTCAGATATGTCTGTTTTGTTTGTTTTTAGATTGCTATTATTATTTGTTATTATTGTCTTTTATTCCCAGTATTGTTATAAAGAATGAGCCCTAGAGGCACTGTAGGGATAAGCACTAGACTGCTAACCATTAAGGTTGGTATTTCAAACCTGCCATTTGCTCCTAGGAAGAAAGAGACTTTCTGCTTCCATAAAGATTTTCCACCTCAAAAGCCCTACACCGGGTCACTGTGGGTCAGAACTGACTCGATAGCAGTGAGCTTGGTTGGATTTGGATCTTAATGCAGTATTGGCACATTTGTGAGTGAACATCTGAGAGTGTTGGCATCGAGTTACATGCTGCAGCACTGTCTAGGGTTCATGTTAATAATCATACCATGCTTTATTTTATTAAGTTTTTATTGTGAGTTGAGTGATATTACATGGGAGAAGATCGGTTTTACACCATAGTTTCATTGCAATGATTACAGTTCCCTCCATGCATCACCATTTAACAGTATTTGCTTCTATTCCCTCTGGGGGCGGTTTTTGGGGAGAGGGGTGGATAGGGGGTGTACACAAAAACACTCAGGAATATATAATCATTTAAATATCCAAAGGGCACATTCCGCAAGCCTGCCTCCTGATCTTTGTCTTTCCATGAGTCTAGAGTCCTCAGCTGTTCCCTCTCTCCATATGCTCATCTCTGTCTCCATCTCTGGTGTCACTGCTTCTCTGTATAGGGTCCCATGCATTTCTCCAAATGAGCTGACAGGCAGAGGGAGACATTGTAAGTTGGAGACTACCTGTATGGAGTATGCAGTCTTCTTTTTCTTACTAACTTAACTCTGTTGTCCAATCCAGATAATACTGAGGCAATCTTTAGTCATTCCGTTGGGTTCTGGCTTCATTTTGCCAATTTACCAAAGCAAAAAAATTTTAATAGAACCTTCCATAAAGATTGGTTCAATTTTGATGAATCTACTCAAGTAGGCAATTAATTAAATAATTGGGTAGGAAGCTTATTAAAGTTCGAATAACGAATGTGTTAAGATGATATGGGAAAGTTTTTGTTTTTCTAAATGAGATGGTCTTTTCACACAATGGAAAAGCTGTAGTGCTGGCTCCTTTTTCCCTCTTCTCCTTCCCTCTCCCCTGTATACTTGTTCTAGTTATAAAGGGAAGGAAATGCTTGCAGTAGAAAAATGTAAACAATATAAATGAGTAAAAAAGAGAAAAGTGCAAACACCTAGAAATTTCTCACAGAACAAAAGCTCTGAGCTTTTCTGGAACACACTCGCCCAGATCGAGTTAACTGCTTTTTTGACGCAGTTCTCTGTCCTCAACAGTTTTCTCTGTCGTTAGTGACTGCACAGTATTCCATTTCCACTGAGTGACTCTGATGTAATTTTTCTAAAGAAAAAAGTGATTCATTAAAATTGGCACAAAATACTAGTTTGATAGTGGCCACCTTGCCCTGCCAGTTCCACTTGGCACACTCTTTGAAGGATGTAATCGTCGCTGGTCATGTCCTAGGAGAGTGTGTCCTAGGAACCTGTCTTGGCTGCATCCCTGTCATCTCAGTACCTAGGCCAGGTACTTCTGATAGGCAATGCAGCCTTCCCTCCAAAGCTTTAGGAGAGGCCCTTGGAAAAGCTGCAAGCTTGTTAGAACGTAGTAGCCCCTAACAGCTGACTGCCTACAGAAACGTAGATGCTGCAGGGCAGGTCCTCGTCCCTTCCACCCTCTCCCCCAGTGCTCACGTATGTCCCAGGTTTGTGTGACTCCATGCAGACTAGAAGACTCCCTGGTGTAGGCTTATTTTGGGGTTTCGTTTGCTTGCTTGTTTTAAAGAAATGAAGATACAAATAATTTTTAGATAATGGTTATGTTTCTTCTTAATCTCAGAAAGAAACGAATCAACCACCTTCTGTTTTCTACAAATGTATCAGTTGCCTTAATTCTATCTTTTGTTTGAATTTTAAGAAAGTTGTTTATTTACTGTGAAAACAGGCAGTTCTCTCAAGTGTTTAGGTTTTGAATGTGCATGTCTCTGTACCCTTTTGTGTCTTGCTTATAAGGGACATGTAATGAATGAATACCTGATGACTAAGATCCACGTGACTCCCCTGTAATAACTAGAAGACTTAGGGATAGAAGGATTGAATCATCTGCGAGTTCCATGCTACAGTGTTTGGGCTTCTTCTGTCCTGGGCTGGGGGCAGCTGCAGGCCAGAGCATGCAGTATGGCAGAAAGAAGGAGGCGAGTCATGCACGGCCCACATCTTAGCAGATCCAACTAGGCAGTGGGGTGGAATCTCATTATAAGTTCATGTGTAGGGTCAAGGAGAATAAAGAGAAGAGAGTCTGATCAGACAGCTATGTAAGAGTAGTGCCTGAGGCAAATGCAACTCTTGGCAAACTTGGTTTCCTGCCCTCTTGGCTGGATGCTAACTCCTGTGGACAGCCAGGAGTTCACTCTCCTCCCAATCTTTTGGCAGTCTCTATAGAAGATTTCCCTATGAAAATCAGTTTTGTTCATCAGGAACATATCCTAGTCCTTTAAAAACTGACACTTTTTACTAATGATTTTTCTTTTTCCCAATCCGATGCTGTCTCTGTTAGGAATGCAGTCCTAAAAAGGACCAGAAGACTCCTGGCCCCGGAGCAGCTCCTGCTGGCCCTTCTGCAAGCTCCAGCTCCTCAGCCGTGGCCTCCACCAGCTCGGGCTCAGCCCCAGCCCAGGAGACCATCTGCCTGGATGACTCCCTGGATGAAGACTTTGCCTTCCACACCCCCTCCCTGGAGCTGGTTTCTGAGGCACTGGCGGTCATCAACAATGGCAACAAGGGCCCTGCAGTTGGCTCGAGGATGAGCATGCCGGCTACAAAGCCTCGTCCAGGACTGAGAGAAGAAAAGCTAGCCAGCATCATGAGTAAGCTTCCGCTGGCCACTCCCAAAAAGCTTGATTCTGCTCCGACTGCGCATTCGTCCAGTCTCATTGCTGGCCACAGTGGGCCGGGACCAAAGAAACCCCAGGACTTAGCTCACACCGCCATCGCTTCAGGCCTTATTGCTGGGTCTTCCATTCAGAACCCTAAAGTCTCCCTGGAACCTTTGCCAGCCAGGCTCCTTCAGCAAGGGCTGCAGCGGTCCGGTCAGATCCCTGCTGCTGCCACCGCCTCTTCCTCCTCCTCCTCACAGTCCCATGTCTCCTCCTCCCCCCAAGCCCAAGCCGCCACCTCCTCTCACGTTCTGGGGACATCAGAGGCCCAGGATGCGTCTTCTTTAACCCAAGTCACAAAGGTGCACCAGCATTCAGCAGTCCAGCAGAACTATGTGTCTCCACTGCAGGCAACCATCAGTAAGTCCCAGACCAACCCGGTGGTGCGATTAAGTAGTACCCCCCATCTCTCCTGCTCAGCCCCACTTATAAAGACTGCAGATAAGCCTCTACTGTACCGCCTCCCCTTGTCCACGCCCTCATCTGGAAATGGGTCTCCTGGGTCTCACCCCCTGGTCTCGAGGACAATGCCCAGCACCACTACCTCCAGTAACTATTTAGCTAAGGCTATGGTGTCGCAGATCTCCACACAGGGCTTCAAATCGCCCTTCTCAATGACTGCCTCTCCAAAACCTGCCACATCTCCAAAACCCCTGCCTTTGCCCAAGCCTTCACCTTCGTCCAAGCCCTCTCTGTCAGCTAAGCCTTCCGTGTCAGCAAAACTTATTTCCAAATCCAGTCCGACCCCCAAGCCCACTGTGTCCCCAAGTCCTTCCGGTTCCAGTGCCCTGCTAGGCCAGAGCGGTCACTCCAGCAGCAGCAGCAGCCCAGTCCACAAGCAGCCCAGTGGGATGGGCGTCAGCAGACAGTCTCCTACCGTGAATTTATTGCCCGCTAACCGCACTTCCGGCCATCCGGCTACAAAAAACCTCCAGGCCTCTTCAAAGCTAGCAAACTCAGTGTCCACTGGAACCATCGGGAAGAATAGCTTGAGTGGAATTGCAGTGAATGTAGCGGCCAACAGAGGCGGCAACCTTAACTCAAGTGGAGCTAACAGGACTAGTCTGTCTGGGGGAACAGGAAGTGGAACACAGGGTGCTACGAAATCGTTGTCTACTCCACACAGACCATCCTCTGCCTCAGGGTCTTCAGTGGTAACAGCCAGCGTGCAGGTATGTACAGTATCCAGGTCCTTGTGGTAAAAACTATAGGTGGTGCCGACCTTTCTGTTAGTGTGCAGGTGTATACGGTACCCAGGTTCATGTGGTACAGTGAAGATGGTGCCAATCTTCCTGTTAATCACAATTAGTGTGATAATAAGCAGATTAGACTATATCTGTTATGTGTAACTGGCTTGTTATATCTTATGGCCATGCAATGTTCCTAATCGTCCCCATCTCAGTTCCCTGACTAATGCCAACTTTAATTTTTATTTAATCAGATTTGTATTTTCATGATTATAGTTATTTACGTATAATTTCCTATATGAAATTGGTATCAGCAGTCCTGTTATAAAGAAGCCCTGGTGGTGCATTAAGTTAAGCATTGGGCTGCTGACTGACAAGTTGGAGGTTTGAACCCACCACCAGCTCCATGTAAAAAAGATGCAGCAATGGAAACTCAAGAGGCAGTCCCAGTCTGTGCTTGTCGGGTCGCTGTGATTCAGAACCCTCTCAATAGCAGTGGACTGGGAGTCTCTGTCCTGGTCCAGCGTTTTCCTTTCCGTCTCCCGTGCAGCTAGCTGGAATACTTCGTCACGGAACCCTGGGATAGGGTGGCATGACGGCTGTGCTGCCCAAGCTCTGGGTCCCTAGCCACGCTTCCTGGTCTGAGCCCTGGGAGCAGGCTGGATTTCCAGCTCACACACTGCTGCCCACCATCCTCTGGTTTGAGAAGTTGAGCCCATTTGAGAGCTTTCTGTCCCCCAGAAGAAATGTGTTTTCACTACCTATATGCCAATATGATTTATTTCCTTTTCCCTGGAAGCTGAGTTTCGCCAGACCAAGGCTGGATTTGTCTGGTTCCTATTCATTAATTTTGCACCAGAAAAATGGTAACACCTTTTAATGTCAAACCTGTTTTTCAGTTCAGGAAAATTCTGTTCTATTCTGAGTCTGAGTTTTGTTTCTGAAGCATTTGTCTTTTTTTAAAAAAAAAAAATTTTTATTCTGAATTGGATTAAGGTTCACAAACAAGATCATCAGTTTTGTTTTTGTTTTGTTTTTTTAATGTTTTATTGTGAATTATGTGATAGTTTACATGGGAGAACATTAGTTTTACATTCATTCTATCATATATCATCTCATTGCCATGGTTACAATCCCCTCCATGCATTCCTTCCCTCGTACCTCCCAGGTCTTCAGCACACAGTCACCCTCCCTCTCTGGATCTAAAGTCTCCAGCTGCTCCATCGCTCCACGTCATCATTTCTGGCTCCATTTCAGGCATCACTGCTTCTCTGGGTAGGGTCCCGCTCTCTACTCTTCTCCCTTGATGGCCCTAGGGACCTCTGCTCCTAGACTGAAAAGTTAATCACTCCCCTCCTTGCTATAAAACATCTACCTTTACATTTCCGACCCTCACAAACAGTCCTGATATCAATTATTCACTATTGTATCACAAGAGACCTGTCTGCATTTCATTGCATCAGCCCCTCCTACTCAGACTAAATACTACTCACTGAAGATTCTACCTTCCTCCAGGCCCTCTGGATCTAGGTTCCCTCTTGAAAGCTTGTAAGCCAGTCACTTCTTGCCTTTGTAGCCCCCCACCCCCCATTTTGGGTAGCCAATGTCCAAGTTGCCCATCCCTGTCTACTCTGTGTGTGGAGGGGGTGGGAATGATTCTTGCTGTAAGGACTTGTTCCCTCTTTTGAGATACTGCTTCCATAGGTGTAGGTCAAGTTCATCAAATTGTATGAGAATACTTTTTTTTTTTTTTAAATCTCCTCTTCTTTTTACTTCTGGTTGAGCTCTGATCATCCAGTCACTGAAGCCAGGATAAGTGGGTATTATCTGCAAGTGTGGGTGTTAAGATCATCAATTTTACATTCAACACTTTTCATCTTGCAGTCCCTTCCGTACAACAGGTTCCTCCCTGAGGGTCCTGTTTCCATTCTACCCACCTTCCCAACCCTTCTCAATTTTGTCCTTAGGTAATTGTTGCCCTTTTGATTTGGAATGGTTGACCATTCTGTGGTGAGCAGACCTTATGAATGTTGCTGTCCCTCCTCCTCCTGTATGCCTATTTACTACTTGGTTGAAAATTGGTCCCTGAGGTTGAGTTCCATTCCAGACCTGAAAAGGTGATCAGGGGCCATAGTCTCAGGTTCCTCCAGTATTCTGACCAGCAAGCCTGGTCTGTCTTTTTCAATGTTTTTATGGTGAATTGAGTGACAGTTTAAATGGGGAGCATCAGTTTTATAGTCATCATTTTTGCAATGATTACAATTTCTTCCATGCATCATCATTCAACAGTATTTGTTTCTATCCCTCTGTTTTTTTGGATGTATACAAAAACACTCCAAAATATATAATCTTTTAAACAACCCAAGGGCACATTCTGCAAGCCTGCCTCCTGGCTGCCAGCACACAGCCTTTCTCTTTCCATGAGTCTAGAGTCCTCAGCTGCTCCCTCTCTCCATGTCCTCATCTCTGCCTTCATCTCTGGTGTCACTGCTTTTCTGGATATGGTCCCACACTCCACTTGTTCTTGTCTCCCTTGATGGTCCTAGGGTCCTCTGTTCCTGGACTGTAAGATAAACGACTCCCCCCTTTTTGTTACAAAATTTCTACCTGTACAGTTGTGATGGTTGCAATTAGTCATGATAACAGTTACTCACTATTGAATTATGAGAATCCTATCCCCATCTTCTTTTACCAGACCTGTCTAGACAGGATGAAAACTACTCAGTGGGGATTCTGCCGTCCCTCTGAAACTAAACTCTCTCTTGAAAACTTGTAAGCCAGTCACTTCATGCCTTTATAGCCACCCCATTTTAGGTAGCCAGTGTTGCTAAGTTGCCTGTCCCTATCAATCCTGTAAACAGAGGAGATAGGATTGATACTTGAGATGTGAAGATTCCCCTCTTCAGTTGGTATTTTGAGCTACTACATCCATAAGTATAGGTCAAGTTCATCAAATTGTAGCAATTTACACTTGTTTCCTTTATCAAAAACTGTTTTTTTATCTTCTTCTAGTAGAGTTCTGATCATCAAGCCATCGAGGCTAGGACAGATGGGTACTGTCTGCAAGTTTGGGTGTTCTAGTGCATCTCCCCTCACTTCATATCAGCTGGACGCTTCACTCCCAGCTCTAGACCTCCATGGCTATGTCCTTGTCCGTGAACTCAGGAGTCCCCAGGTCTCACCACACTTCAGACCAACCAGCCTTTCCTCTTCTCTCTTTCATTTCCAGGTCAACAGGAGTCTATATGGAATGTGGCCAAACTCAGCCCTTATCTTCATTACTGCCTTTCCTCCTCTTCCACTCACCAGTAGACCAACGTGGTCACCAGCAGTCTTACATGCCTGCTCATGTGTGCCCTTTGGGTTTCGGTCTAGGAGGAGGGTTTGTCCTGAAGGGACTTGATTGTGAACAACTTGCTTATTCTTGGAGTAGCCAGTCAGACTGCCATTTTTGTTTTGGATTTTTCCTGCCAGTTTTTCTTTCAAGAAATATCCTCTGTTTCTTTAGCTGTTCCAGGCTGGTCTGCTTGTCCTTTGAAGTGGGAATGTCTCACCTCAGAAGGTTCTGGATGGAACCCTTCGTTTTTATTAGTATGGTGATTTAATTCCACTGTCTTAGGAAGTGCTTTCCCTACAGACTGTCTCCTGCATAATTTGTGTCAGAACAACACATGGAGAAGCCCCTCATTTCTGCTTATCAGGTGTGTACTGTTCAACACAGGTATTAAGTACACACCCACAACCCCTGTTGTCAGTGAAGGCTTCAGAATGACTGTACCCCAAATCCTAATGCATAACAAAATCCTGTTGACTGGTTCTGCATGAGTTCAAATCCAGGAATCAGTTTTACTTTCATCAGAAATTAGAAGATCTTGAAAGCTAATAAACTGAGAGTAGAGATTATATGCTGAGAATGAAGGTAAGGTCTGAGAGACAGTCCGTCCACGAACCAGTTTGTACTAACTGTGGTAGAATGCTGACTTTTTGGAATGAAACTTTATGCTGGTCAAAGCAGTAGGTGAGAAGATCCAGAAGAATTGTCAGTCCCTGCAAGGGCCCATGCTACCCTCCCTGGTGTCAACCACTTTTAACCATTTGCCTTTTCTTCTCTGAATTTTCAGATTAGAAGAACAGAAAACTTTTAGTTCATCTACTTTAGTGTTATCTTTTGAACTCTTACTATGAGAAATGAGGCTTTTCACGCTCTTGTATTTACGTCATTCTCCTAAAAATTGTTTTTTTGGTTAAATCTGTAACTCTGTAAATATTGTCTCTATTGAGCCAAATATAATGTGCTCTCTGGTTCCACTTAATTAGTGTAGCTCCACCTCCCAGCCCCTGAGGTTTAACTTACTTGGTTTTTCCCATTTGTTTTGTTCTCTTTGAATGTAAGGGTAAGTCTTTGTCCATCTTTTATTGACTCTGGAATCTTATCAGTTCCATTTTTGGCCTGGAGACCTTTCTGTATTTGATTATTTCCATTTTCTCAAAAGAACCAGAAACCATCTAATGAACAATTGGCTCCGCCACAAGGACGCTTGCTACACAGCAAGATGTATTTTTATTGAGCGTAACCCCTCTCTACTGGTTCCCGTTCGCTCCTGGGTGATTACTCTGCTCGGGGACCCAGCTCTCCTGCCTTCATGCCTGACCGGCGTTCCTCCTCTCATCGGTTTGGCAGAAAGAATAGTGTGTCATGAATAAGGTGTGCCCCTAGTGGTTTTGGTTTCCATGGCATTTGCTCCTCTATATCCTTCTTTGTCACACCAACGCTAGACCCACATTTCCTGCCTGACTGACAGGGCGCTCATCTGCCCAGCCCATAACTTCCAACTGGACAGAATTCTTTCCTGCTCTTCAAAGGGACGACTGCCACTTTGTAATTACATACATCATCTTTCATCAGGCTACTGGTGTTTGTTTCAGATGTGCCCAGCACTCTTCCAGATTTGGGGTTATAAGGTGAACAGTATATTAGGATCCCTGCTCTTGTGGATGAGATATGATGGGCCTTCAGAAAGATCATGGAAAATGGAATTAAAAGATAGTGAAGTTTTCCACAGACTTTTTGAAACCCCTTCATATTCTCAGAAGGAAGATAGAAAAAAAAATTTTTTTTAAGCTTTGAAAAGCATGCTAAAGTGTGCTGTGAGAAAGGGACTCTGGTGGGCATGGCTGGACGTGGCGGCTACCAGAGGCATCAGGGCAGGCCTCGTTGAGGAGGTAACATTTAAGCTGAGGATAGAGTGAGAACGGGAGGAAGACACCTTGCTGGCAGGTCATGCCAGGTGGAAGCCACCAAGATGGGCCAGCTACAGGGAGGCTTGGTAGGTGTTGAGATGAATGAAAGGTAGTCCTGAGCCACGGCAGCAGGCCCTGTGGGCTGAGACCAGGACTTACGGTTTGGGGCTGTGCGCTCTGGGAAGCCGTTGGGGGGGGGGGGGGACACTGTGGAGAATGGGGCTAGAGGTGTCCTGACTCCTCAAGGAAATCACTAGAGTAGCCACTTCCGAAAGGGAGACTACCTCTTAGTTACGTCTAGAACATAACATTTAGGCGACCTAATGACATTTCCAATTCATTTTATAAACAAAACTGGATGAGGACACCATTTGAAAGTATAAAGTGTTAGATCATGGGGTTTGGGTGTTTTTTTGGGGTTGTTGTTTTTGTTTTTTTGCTAATACTCGGTTATATAATTCTGGAGGTTGCCCTAATTGATGCTGCCCATCTATTCTAATGTTTCCTGTAGCCTCTCAGGAAAAGCTTGAGGAGGGTTCTCTTCATGAGCTAGGTTCTGTGTTCCTCACCAGAGCATTGCACTTGAGGCACGTGCCTCAGAAGTTCTGGATCCCCTTCCAGGACTACAGTGGAAGTGTGATTACAAGGAGACGTGAGGCTCCTGGATTGTTAAAGCGACACAGGGCCGTTTCTAACCAAGTTGCTTCAAGATTTTATTTCTAACTAATTTAAGTGCCGGTCTTGTATATTATAGTTGGCATAGTAATCGGGCATGAGCATAAAGTGATGGAGGAAGTTGTTGTGGTAGGGAGAAAAGACAACAAATTTGCTGTCTACCATGAACTCACCCTATGTAAATAATGTGTACATGTATAACATGCATAGTTAACAGATACGCAAGGGTTTGTAAAACCCATATGATGCCTGTTATTTGGTATGAGTTCATCGTGCCCTCTGATTTATGACCACTAAAAGCCTAGGCTATGAGCTTGCGTGCCTGGAAGGAACAAGATGAACAGGGATAGCAGGGGTCATGTGAGATGGGGAACTGACTGGAGGAGACTGTGAGTCTCGTAGGGACAGACCAACTTGACACATTAGACTCTGCAAGATGCAGGATCACAACCGAAACAAGAAGTTAGGACTGTACTGTGAATTGAAGAAGAAATGATGGAGGTGACGCGGAGTCCGGGAGACTGGAGCACGGAGAAGGCTTCTCTAGGATGGCCCTCGTGCACTGTTCATCAGGGACATGCACCGTCCAGTTCTAAAGGGATATGATACAGTTATATGCGTGGGGACATGAAGACACAAAACCATCCGCCTTTATTAATGCTATTTATGGATAGAAATAATCGACACACAAAATAAAGCTGACAGTAGCTAGCGTTTATGATTACTGACTTTAAATCACCAAAATTCCGTTTTCTTGATCAGATTTTGAACTGTGAAATTTTCACCTAGGAAACTTGGGAGTTCATAAAATAAGAGAACAAAAGACAGTTCACAATGTCAGTGACTTGGTAGTTAATGTCTGACAGAAGAAGAAAGGTAATCGGTCTCCTTTCTATTGATAAGTACACTTGATAAGGAAGGAGAAAGTCAAAACAGAGAAAGTGATCCTTGTGCACAAAGTTGATCAAAGATTGAAATGAGCAAAATGAAATATACTTACAGAGCTTCTCAATGAAAGCTCATCAGTGTTAGTCTATGTCTGGTTTCATTGTTTGTTTTCATAATCATGACCCTGGAACCCAGGTGGGGAGATGTCTCACTTAAGTCAGTGGTGGAGAACGTCCAGGGGCCATGTACAAGGTCTGCCGAAATCATTTAGTCTGGCCCTGCCAAGGCAACCACAGTTTCAGCAATCACATTAAGGATGAGTTAATTACATGTTTGACCAAATTTAGCAGGCTAATTTTTACGTTGAAAATTTTGTGTGGCCCGCAAATGATCCTATAAATTTTGACAACGCAAAAGTTCCTCACCCCTGCCTTAAAAAGTCCCGTGCCCAGAAAGTAGGCAGATGATGGGCAGCTCCCAGTGGTTAAGGACAGGCTAGGGAACGGGAGGCATGTCCTTCAGGAAGTTCAGTAATAAAAGGGGTCTGGGGTAGAACCATGGATTGTAAACAGAGAAGAGCTGGGAGACAGGAGCCATGGAAGGGATGGCCCCAGAGTAGATGTACTCTTCTACAGAGCCCAGGGCAGACACGGAGACATCAGCTCATGATGCAGTAGCGCATCCTTGATGGGCTTGTCTCTTCAAAGTCATGTATTGAGAGGGCGGGACAGTCCAAACTTGGAGGGACAGTGGGTACTGAGCGTCTGCAGGGACCATGTTAAAACGGTGTTGGATGAGCCACTGGCAGTTCCTGTCTGAGGCCAGGAGCAAAGTCGAGAAGTGGAAATGGGCCCTGGTTAACCCAGGCGCTGTTGTGTTGGAATGACGCCGGGGAGTCTAAAGTGGTGGTAAACAGCTGAGTAGGCAAATACTTCCAAATGGAATTTGCAGATTGTCGGAACCAAATTGGTAGTTCTTTTAAAAATACAAGGGGACTTCAAAAAGTTAATGGAAAAATGGAATTGAAAGACAATGGAATTTTTCCCGTGAGCTTTTTGAAGTCCCCTCCTGTGGTCCACCTCAGTTTCTGTTAGAGCAAATATAAGACACAGTCTTACAAAAACCCATGAGTAGTAAGGGAAACCGTTTGTTTTAGGTTTGATACTTTGTTTCATTTTGTGACCCTTGATTTCTGCATCCGAAGAGCTCTGGGGGCACAGTGCCAGTCTGCAGAACAATGAGGCAGTTCTACTGTCCTGTGGGGTCACTATGAGTCAGAATTGACTAACGACAATGGATTTGAGCCCAATTTTAAAAGCCCTGGTGGCATAGTGGTTGACTAACTGAAAGGCCAGCAGTTCAAACCCACCAGCCTCTCCATGGGAAAAAGAGCTGGCCATCACTTTGATAGTTCTACCTGTCCTGCGGGGTTACTACAAGTGAGCATCAATTTGACAACAGTGGACTTTCTGAGTCCACAGCAGGAGCATATGTGAGGTTCCATTATCTTTTCATTCCATTTGTGAAGCCCCGACTCCTAAGACCCAGTCTTGCGTCGCTGAGGGGCTCTGGGTAAAAAACGTCGGTGTAGGGTACGCACTGTGTGTCTCTCCCATTTTGACCCCTGGTTTCTGCAGTCCACAGCAGGAGCGTCATTGTTGGCTAATGCCTCACCTCTGACTCTCATGACATCACCTTTGTCTGTAACAAATCAAAATGTGACTCCTTTTGGGATGCTGGGTGGCCTTGTTCCAGTGACCATGCCCTTCCAGTTTCCCTTGGAGCTCCTCGGCTTTGGGACAGACACAGCTGGAGCGACAACCACCTCCGGATCTACCTCAGCCGCTTTCCACCACAGCCTCACTCAGAGTAAGTAGGCTCTCGTGCATGGGACTTAGTCGAGTGGCAGGACAGAAGGGTGTGGGGGTACCAGTTTAGCCTGAGGGAGGGTAGCCCATGCGAGGGGGCAAGATGCTCGTTCAAAAACGTTTTTATAGAAATAGACTTACTTCATCAATCGTATAATGAGCCAGATTATTAGTGTCTGGGGTTTCCTTGATGTGGTTTTTTTTTTTTTTAACGGACCATCTCTACACTACATTTCTACCTTCATGAAATTCACAGTAAGAGGAAGTCAATTGTCAAGTGTGCTGGATTCTGTGGTTGCACACAGACCTTTAAGGGACCCTGGGGGCATGATAGTTAAAGCGCTTGCTGCTGGGAGGTCAGTGGTTCCCACCTAGCAGGTCTGCTGCCACAAAGAGGACAGAGAGCCTGTGGGACAGCTGTGAACGCCTGCAGGGGCACTAGGAGTCAGAATCACCTCATGGGGGCTTCTTTTACAGTGTGTTGTTTTATACATTTATATACGTGAACCTTTAAAATTATATTTGCTTGAAATTAGAGGCTGTGCTTGCATTTGATGCCCGTTTTGTTGGTGATGTGGAGAAGGTCACTGATGAGTCTCTGTGTCTGCAGATTTACTGAAGGGTTTACAACCAGGAGCTCAGCATGCAGCGCCGCTCTCCCACTCCCCGCTGCCCGCACACATCCAGCCGACGTTTCCCGGTAAGATGCCTACCCTTTCTTCTTGTCCTCCTGATGGCTGGTGGCGGCCTGCACACACAGGTCATGCTTTTCTCTGTGGATGGGATGACACAGGTTGGGGAAAACAAATGTCTGCTCATCCGAATCCTTCTTGGCAACAAACGCCTCCTAAAAGACAGAGAACAGGTAAAGAAGGTCTCTGTCCCTTGTATGTGAAGAGAGAGCCTTTCGAACTATGAGGAGGATTCCTAAGATGTAAGAATCACATTCAGTAATTATAATAGTTGACATTTACAAAGGCTCATTGACTAAGTGCAAGATGACTTGGCTGCACATGTGTTCATTAGTGTAATCTTCACAACCGGCCGGTGACGTGACAGATTGGAGAACTGAATCAGAAAGCTTAAGAGAACATGTAGTAAGGGTTTAATTCGAGATACAATGTGTGACTTGTCTTCGTATCCATTAAATGTTCCTGCCCCTGAATAGGAGCAGGTTACCATGACGCAACCCAGCTGGCCCTAAGGTTGGCTAGTGGAGATGGTGCGTGAAGCCCCAGCGGCAGGGTAGAGTGGGAACGGGATGGGGCATTTTGATTGAACAACAGGTTTCAGATTCTGCTGTCACCAGCAATTGACTGCCAATATTTTTCTAAAGGCTGTTATAAGAATCTTTTGAGCAGAGATGACCACAATGCAGAAATAAGAGCTGTGTGTGGCCGTCTCCAGACAACAAGTTCACGTTGTTGTTTGGTGCATACGCATCTCCCCTCCCCTGCTCACACAGGGTCTTCATGACCGCACGTCACGCCGGCATTCCAACTGTCACGTTCCTTCCCTTTCTATCCGGCTCGTGCCACTGCGGGAGCGAGATGGGATGACTAGGAAGAAAGTGGGCTTGTGGACATGTAATGCCGTGAAACAATTTTGAGGAGATGGGGACTGGGCTGAATTCCAGAACTGTCCCTTTGAGCGTCACTTCTCTTGCTCATAAATTGGGTGTATAATAGACTTCTTTTTGTTGTTGTTAAGTGCCATCGAGTCAGTTCCGACCTATAGCAACCCTGTATAGGGTTTCCAAGGAGCAGCTGGTGAGGTTGAACCGCTGACTTTGCAGTTCAAACCAACTTTGCAGTCCAGCGCATTAACCCACATCACCACACCAGGACTCCAATAGGCTTCTTAGGAGAAGTTAAAAAATAATTTTTTTCTCTGTTGTCTGAAGCAGGTATCAGCAATTTTTTTCTATAAATGGCTGAATGATAACTATTTTAGGCTTCACAGGTTATGGGCTTCCCTGTGGCAACAACAGCCCTTAACAGTGTCAGTCATTGAGTGTAGCTGGGTTCCAATAAAGCTTTATTTATAAAATGCAGGTGGCAGTCCTGATTTGGCCTTTGGGCTATAGTTTGCTGAACCCTGGTCTAAAGAATCTCATAGTCCCATTAATATGATGTTGTTGTTAGTGCCATCCGAGTCAGTTCCAACCCACAGCAACCCTGTACAGGGTTTCCGAGGCTTTAAATCTTTACGGGAGCAGAATGCCTGATCTTTCTCCCGCAGAGCCTGGTAGTCTCAAACTGCTGACCTTAAGATTTGCAGCCTGATTCGTAACCACTATGCTACCAGAGCTCCTTCCCATTAATATAAGGATCATTTATTTTGTAATTAACTGAAGTTTCTCAGAGCAAAACCCCCACTGAAAAACACCTGCAATTTGATTAATTTAATGAAACCTCAGGTCAAATCCCTCACCATAAATGAAAAAGCCAGTTTCTTAGATGTTCTCACCCGTTATTTTCATAGTAACCTCCATGTTTTACAGGTGTATCTTTTTTTTTTCAGTAGAAGCAGTTGTTCTGGTGTTTTTTCTTTTGTGGGACAGGAGTTCAGCAGGCAGTGTGACTTCAGTGGTCTCCCCCAGCTCTAGAGTCTGTTGTCAGTTTGAATAATTTGTGCCTTTTCACCTGTTCCATTCATACCCTTTACCTCAAAGCAAAGACTGCTGCCCCTACCCCCTTCATTTGCTCTCAGGCCTGATTGTCTCTGGGGCTTCGCTTTTATTGCTCTAAATTTTAAAAAGCCTCCCAGTGTGGCACTGTGGGTTAATGCACTGGATTGCATAATTGGTTTGAACAGCAAGGTCGGTGGTTCGTGCTCACCAGTTGCTCCTTGGAAACCCTACACAAGGTTGCTGTGGGTCAGAACGAACTCAAGGGTACTTAAGAACAACTGCCATTGAGTAGATTTCCAGGTCATAGATAGGGACCCCGGACCCCAGAACCTATGAGAGACTTTGTGTTCTGTTGGCCCCAAATGTGCATGCCTTTTTCCATCATTCAGCCAAGGTGTAAACAGAGGAATCTGCCTTTTCCTCACACAAGCCAAGCAGCCATGCATACAAAGTGTAACCACTATTCCCACTCCGGTAGCTGACCTGTCTGTTCTAGCAGGTCCAGACCAAACAAGGACTTGGCTACAACGACTCCGCTGCCACTGCACCCCTTCCACTTACATAAACAATGACCAATCAGGTGCCAGTACTGTGGCAAGAATTGTAACTCTACTTTGCAGATGAGGAAGTTCACCCTGTCCTCTAAAGAAATCAATAGATGTGGTGGGTCCCTCGGAGGTGGGAGCTGGATCTTCCAGTCCCATCATAATCCGAACAGCAGCTGTAAATGTAAAAGTTCATTGTTTAGCTTTGTTGTGGTTTTTTTTGGCCTGGTTTTCAGTACTGTACCAACCCCTGCCAATCCAACATCTCTTTCTCAGATGGAGGCCAAAGCAAAGGAGATGCTCAGCTACCACGGAAATCTCAGTGACGTCCCAGCAAGCAGAGGTCAGGAGGCACGTGACTGGCTGGTGGACGCTGCCCAAAGGGGAAGTACTTCACGTGGTCACAGGGCTGCTGCTTCTGTCGATGTTTACATTCTCCCGTCCCGAGCACTGTGGTGAGGAGGAGGAAAAGAAAACACATTACTTGATCAAAGCCAGGTGCAGGAAGAAGAAACGCTCTCTCTCCTAAAGAAAGACAACGTGATCATGTTGACTGACTGGAAAGAGACTCAGTTGTCAAACCCACAGAAGTGCAAATTGGCGGTTTCCCGGGGGAGGAAGAGGATTTGGGCGGGCGCCATCCATCCTAGGGGTCGAATCTGGCCACTCACAGACGTGATTGCGTAATAAAAGGCGGTACTCTGGCGCTAGGCCCATTTGTCAGGAGCGATGATCATGTCTGTTCGAGCGGACTACGCACCAAATTTGCCACACACACAAACACCAAACTTGGTGCCTCTCCATCCGATGTAGATAGTAGCTGAGACACACTGTATCCTCAGAAATCCTGAGCAAACTTGAAGCTTCCCCAGGACGTAGCAGAGCAATGGGTAGAAGATGTCTTGAGAAAGTCATAGCACATTGATGGATGACACCGAGCCATCTCAGTGTCTACAGTCACCTGACAGCCTCTGGGTCAAAGGTTCTGTCGCATCTTCCACTGAGAGGCAGACACTTACCTCTTTTCTTCAGGGGGTTTTGTGTGTCTGGTATTGACTGGTGAAGGCTTCCATTCTCGATGTAAATGTGTGACCACGTTCACATCTTCCTCTTGAGCAATGGGGATCTTACGTTTCCGGCCTGCTGCTTCGGTGCCCCGACCTCCAGGCCGGCCAGCACCAACTGTCGGGAATCCCCATTCCCCTGGCACTCCTCAGCCCCAGCTGCTCCTCTTGCTCTTCTGCTTGTGCCACTTCAGGGTGTTGTTGGTGACTAGCTTACTGCCCAGGCTGCTCGCTGGTCATTCTGAACAGCATTTGTAGAGTCTCCGTTTTTAAAGGGAGGAATACACATTAGGATGAAGGGATTCTTTTTTTTTTTTTCAATAACTAGTCACTGCATATTTGTCCTCCCTACATCCAGGGTAACAAAGTTGATTTAGAGTAGTTGGGATCTCAGAACTTTCCTAATGTTGCTTGATAATGAAAGGAAACTGGTGAGCGCCAGCGTGATAAACAGCATTGTCCACAGAGGGCGTTAAGGGAGAGACCTTATCAGAGTTGAGTTTAGATACATTTTGTTTCACTTTTCCAACTCGTCCTCTTCCTCCTTTTCTATTTAGGCTTCTGAATGTTTTCAAACTGTACCCTTAAGAATAGTGGGAGCTCTTTATTTGGTCCGTGTATAATGACAGACTAATACCCCCCCAAAAAGCAAAATAGCAAAACCTATCCGTTTCAAGCTAATTGTATAGCAAGATTTCATGCATACATTTTCTTTACACATCACCCTATACCAAGAAGCTTATTTAAATGAAGGTATTATTTATCTAATACTTTTTCCCTTTTATAAGCAAAAGTTCCACATTACTGTAGGACTGTGAAGAAGTTTCCACAGATCTGTTCAGATCTCAGTGCCTATACTTTGGCTTCAGTCACATTGGCTTGCTTCAGAGCAAAAAATAATAATAATAATAAGTTAATAAATAACTGAAAACTTTAGTTCCAAGAACTTGTTACAGTAAGGAGAGAGGATTGTTTCAGAGGAATCCTTGATACAATTTCTTGCTGCTAAAAATCTAGCTTACTAGGAAAACCAGGAGGAATGGAAAGTCAACCGCGGTGACTTGGGGATCTTGCAGAGAGGTTGGACCTCATAGATGTTTGTTGTGGTTGTGTTGTTTTGTTTTAATTAGGAAGGTGTATCCGTTCTTGGTTTCTTCCACTAGAGCAGGCCTCTTGCTTTTATCTCATGTGGGAAGAAAGATATCTTTTCTTTGGAAAGGTCATCTTTGTTTTACTCCCCATACCTGGAGAGAAGTTGGGCCTCTTCAGAGTTCACGTGAATGTGTCTTCCTGCTGAGCATTGTACGTGAACACACGCCTGTGTGTAGTGTGTATGCATATGTGTGCATGATAGACACAGAAATTCACTACAGGTGTTAAGTCAGGAAATAGACTGTCCGCGTCTTCACCTGTTGATTCTGAATCATGCTTCATGAAGATCTCTGCTCCCTCCTTTCCTGATCATTGAGAAGAGCGCATTAGATGCACCGGTCACGGATCTGAAGGCTGAGAAGGCTGGCCGCCTGGAGCCAGGCCTGTTCACTCTCCAGTCTTGATGCCTGGTACCCTGGGTACCCTGTGCCCGACCCACCCCCCTGTTCTTGGTGTGCAAATGGATCAGCCAGCTTGTGTCTCATCGCTAGATAAAATGTGATCCTGCATTCCTGCGTGTAAATTCAAACCTCTTCCTGCTGCTCATCTAGATCCTTCGTGGTCATGACCCCTCTTTGCAGTTTTTCTTACTTCAAAAAACAACATGGAAACTGGTTCTTTTGAGCACAGAGGCCTGCAACTCATGCTATAGTTTTGCACTCCGGATTCAAATCACGTTCCTCCGTAAGCAGGCGAGTCAAGAGAAAGGCTGTCGAGTGACACCTGGGTGCGGAAATCGCCTGCCTACATAATTCTGTTTCCACTCAGCGGGATCCTGGATTCAGGAAGACACAGCCTCCATTTGCTGTCAGCTGCCTTCTGTGTTTAAACTGCTTTTCATAACAACAATCTAAGCTGTTACTGTATAGACCAGGTACTCCTCAGTATTCGCGAGCAATAACGTGCAGCAGGGCTGTCTCCACAGACTCTGCTGGGCCTTGGAAGGAGACTGCAGGGGAGCCAAGTGTCAAGCTCGTTCAGAGCCTCCAAAGGAAATGCAAGCAATAATTGCCACGAGAGGTCAGGTCTCACGTTCTCTCGTGTGCTTCTGAGATCAGAGAGCAAAAACAAAATGATCATGATTTTAACCCGCCTGAAGGAAAGGTTTTGGGGAACGAAGTGAGGTTGACCTCAAGGGACAAAGCCCTGATGTTGTGAGAGCGTCAGAAGATCGCGGTCTTGTGTTCTTTCTTGCCCGCCACCCCTTTGATGGATGTCGTTAGCCCAAATCACATTTCTTCCATCACGAAAGTCGAATCAGGTTGATTGTCTCAGTGAGGGAAGGGGAAGAACAGGGCATGGGTTTGAAAACTGTGGGTTTGACACCTGTTTGGAAACAACTTATTTGAAATGATTTTAACCCAGGAAATTTTTTTCCCCAAAAACAGATCTGAAGTGTTTACTACCAGGGTTGGGAAGGGCAGGCACCCCTAGTGTCTCTCCTCGGGTTGCCCTCTGCCACCCCCCTTTCCACCTCTACTTGGTTCAGGACATTTTCGGAAATGAAAATTCTACTGTCGATTGAAACTGCCATGGATGCTGAGAACTGTGTATCCCTTGGGGTCATTTCTGAGAACCCCAATTCGCTCTCATACTCGCTGCTACGTTTGTATAATGAACTCTGCCTATATTGGTTGACTGTGACTTTAAGTTCTTTATTTCTGGTTTTGATCCTGTCATTTGACCCATGTGTAGAGTTAGGATACTTGATTTTAGATGTATACCAGAAAAGCACACTGGTCCCTGTATTGTAATCATTGAGATTTTGCATTTGTGGGTTTTCTTTTCGTTTTGTTTGGTGTTTTGGTTGGCGAACTCTCCTCTCTGTGCTTCAGCACTGTAATTACTGCCGATTTTATGGTCTCCAAAGGGCACTTTTATTTTCTATTATGTGAGTGTGGTTGGGTTGTTTTGTTTTGTTCCTTCGGTTTTTTTTGCTTTGAGGGGGCAGCAGGGGCTTTTGTTTTTGTAATGAAGCAGGAAAAAATGCAGTAGTGGGTAAAAGACTGATGATAAGAACATGGTATGCAATTTTATTTTATAAAACTCTCTAAGGGGAAAAGTTTAACTGTTTGTATATCATTTCTTCGCTCTGGTAAAACACTAACACTTCTCTAAAACACGCTCAATTCAGGCCTTTGTCGTCTTGGTTAAGTGCCTTTTTTCTTTCTTTTCCCTTTCTGTTTTTCCGTCTTTTGAAGTTGTTCTCAGATATCCGTAAGTACAGGCCGAGAAGTCAGGGATTCAGGAGGGAGAACCTCAGACTTGCCAAGGTCACGTCATGCTGTCAGACGCGTCCTGTTCTTTAGATGTAGGCGGATATATGTTTAAGGTATGTGTGTGTGTGGGTGCTGTATGTGTGTGTACAGGACTAGCGGCTGCTAGACCATTGCATCCTTTCTGAAGACACCTTTTCCACAATGCTTGTAAAACTTCCGCCTTGATTCCATTGCTTTGAGTTGCTTGTTGATAGAGCGCTCGGGACATTGCCTTTATACAAGATGCTTCTGTATCGTCTCCGTTTCATATGTGTTTGTACAAGTGAGCAAACACACACACATCTATACATACGTATACACATATATATATCACAGAAACCTAAGAAGTCAGTTAGTTATTACAAGTAGATAGAGGAGGCTGATTGGCTGTAGAGCCCTCTGGGAGAGCGCACTGGACTTCCAAGGGATAGGGGTACAGTTCATGCCCGAATCGCCCGTGAGGAAGTAAAGACGCATCCTCCACGCTTCCTCCTGGGCAGTGCGTTGTGGCATAGTTGTGTGTCTGTGCAGGTTAACTAACTCAGAAAGAGTTCAGATCATGAGAAAATGCTCCTGTCGTCTAGCATGTTTGAGAGACACCTTCTGTTTTATTTTTCTTTGCCAGATAATTTCACACCTGCTGAATCTGATTTCCGGTTCCTTAGATTTCTTCCTTGAGCAAAAGAACATACTTTTCAGCGTCTTAAGATGTACCTGTTTCTTGTCACAAGTAGACATGACATGTGAAGGGAGACTAAGTTGAGCCAGTCTTCAAGACCCATTGCACACTAGCTAAGAATTGCCCCCTTTTATATGTGAATTGGCAAGGAGAAACTGGTGGCCCAAAAGGAG